CCTTATATCTCTATCTACAGTGTATACTATATCCATTACATATGTTTTCCTTAGATCTCAAGCTACAGTATACACTATATCCATGACATATGTTTTACTTAGATCTCAATCTATATTATACACTATATCCATTACATATGTTTTACTTAGAACTCTATCTACAGTATACAATAGATCCATGACATATGTTTTCCTTAGATCTCAAACTACAGTGTACACTAGATCCACAAAATATGTTTTCCTTAGATCTCAAGCTACAGTATACACTATATCCATGACATATGTTTTACTTAGATATCAATCTATAGTATACACTATATCCATGACATATGTTTTACTTAGATCTCAATCTATAGTATACACTATATCCATTACATATGTTTTCCTTAGATCTCTATCTACAGTATACAAAAGATCCAAAAAATATGTTTTCCTTGGATCTCAATCTACAGTATGCACTAGATCCATGACATATGTTTTCCTTAGATTTCAGTCTACAGTATACACTAGATCCATGACATATGTTTTCCTCAGAACTCAATCTACATTATACACCAGATCCATTACATATGTTTTCCTTAGATCTCAATCTACAGTGTACAAAAGATCCATTACATATTTTTTCCTTAGATCTCAATCTATAGTATACACTAGATCCTTGGCATATGTGCTCCAAAAACAAAAACTCAGCCAACCTTTACTCGTTCATCTGGGTGGCGAGTTTTCTGTGTAGCCGACAGAAGGATTTTCCGGACAGCGAAAAGCCGGCCTCGAGGCGAACGAGTCTTAGTGACAGAAATTGAGATTTGCCTCACCACTTCCAGGCGTTGACGAAGGGCAAGACGAATCGTCTCAAAGAGGGGTTCGGGCGAGCAGGTTTAATGAAGTATACATCAGTAGGCTTGGTACGTTAATTGTCACATCCTGCAATATGACAAAACCATGCAACTATGAAGAGGCTAAAAAGCCATTTTGTTTGTTTTGAAACTTATATTTTGACAAATAAATCAACAAATACATAAACTATAGTGTATGTCTAATGAATATAGCGTATAACATTATTGGGAAGAATTTCATAGCGTTTTAATCTCACCTCTCTGTACATGTTGCGGTGTCTCCTCTACTTTGGGGACCGCTTGCCACCTGCCTCATACTCCAAGTTCTGTCTTCGGGGATTCAACAAACTCAGACTATAGTATTCTTCAGACGTCTGTGTCAGCTATTTTATAGCTTTATATTATTGTTCTTGATATTGCTTATAGTACAATAGTTATTGTCAGATTTAATATACGAAATCACATTTGATACGAAATTCACATTAACATGAAATAAAGGAACACACTCTATTTGTGAATCTCATCATACACTACAATTTACACTACAACTGAAACATTTTGTTAAAGTACATAATCATAAAAGGTTGCCTTGAGCTGTTATTCCCTGTCAATAATCGGGCGAGACAGATCTTGATCAGGAACTGCAAAGACTTCCATGCATATTTGGTGCTGTTCAATCTTTGCATGAAACCTACTATGCACAATATTTTCCCTCCACAATGGGAAGTAATAATACTGCAGATCTTCTGGTGCGTTTTAAATGATGCAAGGGATGATCAGTATGAACATCCTTATTCACTAATATGTTTTTTACTTCAATCTGTCCTCGCTTGATCACTCTGTTCCCACCATTGGTGGCTTATCGTCCACCTACTGCACTTGGGTCACAAAACGTCCCCTCCTATTATAAAAGCATATGTACTCTCTCAAAGGATGCCACAGTTCGTTCTGGAGACACTTGCTGTATTTGTTTAAAAGCCGAAAGATCGCTCTCGTGAGACGCTCCTATTCAAATAGACGTAGCCCAGAGTACGGTTTGACCAACACACCAGTGAATTCTACTCACTTAATGAGTAACAGCGGCCAGAAGGGTCGAATTTACTATCTTGGCTGGTAGACTGCACGAAGCAGCAGTGAAGAGATGGGGTATCCTATGTAGAGGGCAATGTCTGAGTAACTCTCAATTCCTTAAAAATAATGGAGCCGAGGGCCCCGTATAATCCTTAAAAGCTAAACAAATAATACGACAGGTTACTTTAGCAATGTTCTTATTGGAAGCAATTGGGTTAACCTTTGACGAAAATATAATCAGCTAAACATAATTATATATCCTTGTTCAGGTCTATATTTCCTACAACCCCCGTCATGTACATACCGCGAGCAAGCGATTGATAAAGTGCTACGTTACGACCCCACGAAATTATGAAGAGCCGTGTATCATGCATTGTAATAATCAGCTCGCGACGGAGCTTGGTGCACGTTGTTAATGTATTATTTCATGACTGTCAAAATTTAGAACTTTATAGCCTGATAGCATGTACTCAATAAAAGGTCAACATGCACAAGAATACACAAACAAATGGATTCAAATAACATGTAGTCATATTTTACTATAAACGGTAACAGTCGATCATACAACCAAATCATATATCAGTGAATGTATCAATATGTATCAAGAATGTATTAATATTTCAAATTATAAGATGACGGCAATTTTTGCAAGTATGTTTTTAAGGTGGTAAAGTGTCTTTTGGTCGTCAGTTTAAATCGCATAATCAGGCCGCACGTAAGATCCAGAATAATATCTCGCTAGAGAAAGTAGGAAATACTATATCTGCCATTGTTGCTATTTTGAAATAGAGTGGCAGTGAATAAACTGTACTTGTTCGTGTTTTCCGATTCAGTTCTCTCAACCAAATATAGCAAAACAGTTGGGTGAATTTTAAGGGAATGTGATTTCTATGTATATACCTCTAAAAACCGCCGTCCACCATTGGACAGGAAACAAGAGGACAGATACATCTTCATCCCCGCGTCCTTAGATATACCCATGCATGTCATAGAGCCGAATGAACCATTCAACACAGTGATCGGTCATGAGGTAAAGCTATCAAAGTCGACATCCAGAAAATGTGCTAAACAGTAATACACACCTTAAAGTGTGATGTATGCAGACACCACCAGCTCATTTTGTGCAAATCTTCCTTTAACAATACAGAAGTATTGAGAGATATTCCGAAACAAAACCTACTCACGTTTAATCATCAAACCATTTTATAAGTTTGTCACATCTCACGTTAAATCAAAGGATGAAAAAACAATTTGAATTAATTGATGATGCGCTAATATATGATATAACAAACTAACAGCCATTGTTACTGTAGTGAAGAGTACATGCCGCTTTCAGCAATGTTCCTGCAATTTCACTGTGGAAATAGGCTTCACACATTGAAACAACGTGAGGTATAGGACCCGGGCCTTTAGGTGTGCGAAGGGCTTAAAAGAGCGGGGCTGTCGGGTAGCCTAGTGGTTAAAGCGTTCGCTCGTCAGGCCGAAGACCCGGGTTCGATTCCCGACATGGGTACAATGAATGAAGCCCATTTAAGGTGTCCCTGCCTTGATACCGCTGGAATATTGCTAACAGCGGCGTTAAACCATACTCACTCACTCACTCACATAAAAGAGCACAAAACTACACCAATGGCCCTTAGACTCTGAGTACTAGAATGTGTTGATGTATGAAGTGTAGAGTCTGAATGAAGTATAAGGATAAGGATAAGGATAAGGATAAGTTCTATTCAATACTGAAAGGCCTCAGGCCCACAGTACGATTCTGTTTTCGGGGTTTGTTGAAGATATGTTTAACAGGTCATATTCTAATTGACTTGGCATGATAAATGAACATTGACAGTTTTTTAGAATATCTTTATCAGTTGTTGACATGATCGATATAATTTTCTGTTGACTGAGATATACATGAAAGGGCAGTTCTATATCTATATTTCTTAGATGGTCGTATTTTGGACTTACAGGGACTAAACTCATCTAAACTTATCTTCAATCACATTTAAACCACATTGCTCACATATTCTCAATTCTCTGGCTCTGTGTCTATGTCTGCCTATTTCGATCTGAGTCTATAAGAGCTGCATCATAATTGTGCTAAACTTATTCTAAATCTTTTAAAATTGATATCAAACGAAAAATATTCTGGGGAAATAGTTGTCCAAAGAAGCTTGTCATATTTGTATTTTTCTGAACATAAAACATGCGATGACCATTTTTGTAAGTAAATTGTAGATTGTGTAGTGCAGTGTGTGTGGAGTATGATTTAGACTGTATGGTGCATGATGTAGGGCGTGTGGAGCATAGTGTAGAGTTTAGAGAGTACTGTGTAGAGAGAGTGTATAGTATAGAGCGTACAGCGTCGTGTGCATGCCATATACTGTAGAGCGCTCATATTATACCGCGTACGGTGTGTAGTTTACAAAGTGTCGAGCGAAGATTGTGTAGTGTAGTGTGTGTAAGGTATAATGCAGACTGTATGATATTTTATGTAGGGTGAAGAGAGTATAGTGTAGAGCTTAGAGAGTTTAGTGTAGTGTGCATGGAGTATAGTGTCTCAGACCTTTACCACTTCTGTGAAACCGACGAGCACGGGTATGGTGCTGACAAACCTAGAAACATAATCAGGGCGAACCGGGATTCGAACCCATAATCATAGGTTTCTGGCGTGCCCAAGGGACGCTACACTGCAAAGCGAATCGCGGCGACTTAGACGACTGGGCCATCCGCGCCCACTGTTCTTATCAAAACAATGTCATGCTTTTCATGACAAAGAACTAGGAACACAAAAGTTGTGAGTAAGTGAGTGAATGAGTTGGGTTTAACGTATTCCAGTTATACAATGTAGGTGTGCTAGCTTATATGGGAGAAAAGCCAGCCGTTTTTTGAAACTTTCAATTTCTATTGTTTCCTTTGTTGATATGTTGTATATGTCAAACTCCGAATTTGGTTAGGGTGAAATAATGGCCATTTATCAATAAATACGTGTGCAAGAGAGTTACTAATAGGGTTGTTGAAACAATATTCATAATATGATAATATGAAATACTTTTCCTATCACATCCCGAACAGCGAATTTGAAAGTTTGAAGCTTACAAATACGTCTAAATATATTTATTGTTTTGAAGTTAATCTGATAGCAGATTATGTAGCGTTTATTCTGATTTAGTTAACAGTCAGGCGTAGCAGGTCATCCAGTTGTATTCGGAATCGCGGAGTTGTGTGTGGCTGCCTTTCTGTACCGTAACGGTCATCCCGGACTTTGTGACGTTCGTTACGGTGACGTTAACGTTGTAGTTCCAACTGCTGCTGTGGATGATGTCCATGTGTGTGAGGCTGTACATGATGCTGGGGACGTCGTAGAAGGGGTGAGAATAACGTAGTGCAGACGTCTGGGGCAACCCGCCATGGACATCACCAAACCCAGAATCACCTGAGGAAGAAGTCGGTTAATTATGATGTTGGGTGTGTCAGCGAATACCTTCATCAGCATCCCAGGAGTTGATGCAACCATCAGCTGGTTTGTTGTGATAAGGATTCCATTATAGGATATACATTCATGTATATGGATAATACATGCTCTGTTAATATGTTCCATCAAAAGTGGAAATCAACACTTGAAAATAGTTAAAAATTATATATCAAATATAAACGTATGCTCTATCCATAAAAACCTTCTTGCTTTAGTTATAAATGTACGTCTTACGTCCATGTAAACTTCAGTCTCCTACATGTACATGTAGAAAAGTCTGTTTGACTGTGCCTAATATCAAGCCTGTATGCTTACACCCCATGAGCCTTAGTAAAATCTTGGAGAAAGTTATCCCCAAAATAGAAACGTTGACATCCCTAAATGCCTGTAATATTTCGATATGTTGCAGTTTGGCTTTAGGAAGGAGCGCGGTGCTGTCATGATGCTATTTACCCTTATTGAATGTGTACAGAGTTATGTTAACAGGGGATCATGTATATACACAACATTTCTAGATAACGATAAAGTCTTTGGTCGAATATGGCATTTCTGGTCTCTTCGTAAAATTCTATCATCTTGGTATTAGAGGTAAAATGTGCTCTCTGTTACATCACTTTTATACGTCTATGTATGCGTGTGTTCAGTATAGGACGAGCAATCGCATGTATCTGTTGTTAGACAAGGTATAGGTCAGGGTAGAGTTATCTCATCCTGGTCTTTTTCCTGTGTACATAAATGACCTCAAAACAGCTTCGCCAGTTAGACCCTTGAATATGTATATATAACTTTAGTTTACAATGTGTGTTACTTGCTGATGATTCTACACTTATCGGCTACAGCCCTAACGGTCTGCAAACATGTTTAGATCAGTTTTTAATTACGCATTCAAATGGCGATTAACTTAAAATGCATCGAAAAGTATAATTGTTGTGTTTCATAAAAGTTTAAAGTATTTATTGTGTGCGCATGCTTATCATTTTGGAGATTATGACGCACTTTTGTTTGATAATGTAAAATATGCAGGTATTGTTCTTCAAAGTAATGTTTCTTTCTAATTATATATTTGAAGAGAACTGTACAAAAGCGAGGCGTATTATTAATTCAGTACGCAAGTATTAACATTTGGAAAAGAATGATTTTAACAAGTTTTCATGGCTGTGAATTACCACCCCCTCTTCATGGTAAATATCTTAAAATAGCTGAAAGCACACAGCGTTACTATGCCAGGATTATACAAGGTTTGAACAAAGGTTCTCCCACTGATGCCACTATTGCTAATCTAGGACTTTGGAGAATGGTTGGCTGTAAAGATAAATGAAGACTACAGCTGCTGGGGCGTCTCTGTAACCAGTCGTGTCTCTCATTTTGTGAAACTGTTTTCTGCGCATCTACGTCACTGTTTCGTAACAGTAATTCACACAGTTAATGTGGAGTATTGCTTTAAATAGCTAAGACATATAAACTATTTCATCATGTATTTCACTACGTCTGCACAGGGAATTCCCCGCGAAGACTCGGTGGAGAAATATTGTATTAAATGAAATAACTAACCACGAGGAAGAAGTATGGAAATATAAACTATCATGTAGCGTTGACCTTTTCCTTTCCGCGAAAATCCATACAACACTTACTCCTCATGTGAGATACAGCATTGTAGTGTTATATCCATAACTGAGAGAAAAAATACAGTATGTAATAAGGATTGGATCCAGAAGCAATAACCCGAGGAATGTACACAATGTAACACTTTTGGTGATGACTATTATCACCATGCCACCTTAAACTGTGAATGTGTGCTTTCAGAGAGAGAGAGATGTATTTTTTCCCGCTCCAGTTGATAATCTTGATGTTGAAATGTATGTGAAAATAGAGATTAAGGAAGGCCATGCTATGTTAGCATTCTTTCTTGGCAACAATGACGTTGATGAAATAACGTGGCATTTTACTATTGTAGATTTCTCTGAGCATATATATGACATAAAACATATATATTTCTCACAAATTATTTCTCACAGTTTATAGCCTGTATATATGCGGTACATTGTTAACACCTTGCGGTACATTGCGGTACATTGTGATATATATGTTTAATTATTTTGTAACATAATTATTTAATTACATAATTTTGATGTTTTGAGAATCTTCGGAATTATCTGGAGGAAATGAATACATCCATCCATCCATCCATTCAACGATTGTTCTTACGTCTATGTAAACTTCAGTCGCCTTCTACATCTACATGTAGGTAAGTCTGAAAATTGTTCGACTGTGCCTCGTATCAAGCCTGTTTACTTACACCCCATTAGCTCTATCTTCTCCGCTTTCTGTGCCAGCCCTGCGAGGAAAGAAAAGAAGAGACATGAAAACGACAGAACGTAGACGAATGGGCGTTGCAGCTGATATTGGGTCCGTCATGCTATCGTGTATGAAGGGGAGACCAGAGGCGCCCCCGTCATGTAATAATTTATCATTGTCGAGTAGGAACATTTTTATTGATAGACGGGTATATATTCAAAGCTGTAGAAATGTGCCACCCTGCTCAAATCTCAACAAATTGTTTCTTCATGTTTCTTTAAAACCACAGGCTGACACTTCGGGACGTACAGAGCTGCCTCAACAAATCACAGTATCTATTACACCTTATCGACAACGTTGACTGATGATGGTGATAGTACATAGGAATAATGTTTATTCCTTTGATCTATTGTGGATATGTAATAGCAATAATATATAATGACTAATAATTTAACTGTACGATAAAATAGACATTAATAGAATCGACATAAACTACTTTTGGGTATCATCTCACGATAGTAGATGCTTGTTAGGGCCTGAAATCTTATAGCTAGATCACGACATATTTCGTTTCTTCATCATGGGCAGTTATATGATCTTTATTAATAACGTAGAGTAAGGAGTACAGGGTAATTTACAGGTTCTGAAAGAAAATATGACAGGTGTTTAATTAAGGAGGCTAAGCTGAAACGTGGCTTTCAGTGATCTGTTGAAGAATCTCGTCTCGCGGGTGCCCTGGTAGTAAATTTGGACTCGCGCCAGCCATACTGGTGCATCACAATCATCACAGACGTATACTACACAGCGGTTGAAGAACCTATACATTACCAAAATCCCTACTTTGAATAGTCTTTACAGTGATCTTGTCATACCTTGAAACGTCTTCAGAAGGGCGTCCCTCCCCGACATCAGATTGTTGGTGGTGTTGTACATGTCGTCGAGAGATGACGTTAGATTGTGTATGACGTCATGTGTGACAGAGAGGCCTTTGTCACAATCATCTGCCAGAGCTGTCAAGTTCACCCTTGTTTCTGTTGTAGTATCTGTGTACCCCTGCAGCCTCTGCAGCCGTTGCTTTGTTGAACTGATGACACCGGTGATGTTCTGAATGCAGACAGCGATGGTTCAGGTATACGTAGATCGCATTATAACTTAAGGGGGCACGGGTGGCCCAGTCGTTTTAGGCGCCGCGATTCGCTGTGCAGAGTTGCGTCCCTTGGCCACGCCAGAAAACTGTGATTGTGGGTTCGAATCCTGGTTCGCCCCGATTATGTTTCTAGGTTTGTCAGCCCCATACCCGTGCTCGTGGTAAATGTCTGAGACCTGCATCATTTTTTCGGGCTTTCCTACCACATTAAGCTGACACGCCGTGATATAACTGGAATACTGTTAAACGCAGCGTTAAGCCCAACTTACTCACTCACTATTATAACTTAAAGTGTCAGTGAGTATGGTTTTAGGCCGATTTTAGCAATATTCCAGCAATATCACGGCAGGGGACACCACATATTGTACCCATGTCGGGAATCGAACCCAGGTCTTCGGCGTGACGAGCGAACCGCCCCCATTATAACTTAAAAACGTGTATGCTATTCATTTTGATGTATGACAATAAATTTCACCAAAGGACAATTATTTCCCTGGCCATAAAAGGCAATAAAAAACAGGACATTCCGAACACTGATTTTAAAGAGAATATATTTACACAATTTGTATAGATATTTTATGGTCAAGTGACATGGGGGTTAAACGTTGAAGTTCCAGATTAATGCACGTACATAACGTGTGTGTGTGTGTGTGTGTGTGTGTGTTTTCTGCTTGTACTAGTTCGGACTTATGCCGATTTCATAGTGCCAGAACACGAAGAAACCATGCCGCAGTTTAACATGAATACCCCACTCAGACACAATATACTGTCCGAGTACGAGCCAGTCCTTGTTTTATCCCCTTAATGCCGAGCGCCAGACAGGGTAACAACATGTACCATCTTTAAAGTGTCGTGGAGTGACGCGGCCGGGGATCGAACCCTCGACCTATCGCTTTCCGCGGAGTTTGCTTTCTGTTGTCTGATCACTAGGTTAGACAATAATGTCGTGTCACATGTGTCGAACCCCAGATTAGACGACTTATTTCTCTGGTCCCCAGGAGTTTGAAACAACAGGGTTCCACTACACGTGTTCACAGCCAGAAACAACCAATCTATATGAGGGAGTCTAAGTGAATCATTCAATTGCGTGATGACACTAAACGCGTTCAAATTCATGGCCCATACTGTGAACTTACAATATGTATGGTGCGTGCCGTAGTAAAAATAAAACCCGTGAAGATTCGGGTAGAGAATAGATCTTCAGCAGCCCATGCGTGCCGTAAGAGGCGACTAAGTTTATCGTAAAAGGCGACTACGCTTGTCGTAAGAGGCGACAAACGGGATCGGGTGGTCAGGGTCGCTGACCTTGTTGATGGATGTCATCGTATCCCAATTGCGTAGATCGATGCTCATGATGCCAGTCACTGGATTGTCTGGTCAAGACACAACTATTTACAGATCGCCGTCATATAGCTGGAATAATGTTAAGTGCGGCGTGAAACAATAAACAAACAAACGTAAAAATAAACGGCCAGTTCTAGATTGGGAGAATGTGGTAGACATGTTTTTGCAAACCATATACAACTTTTAAATATTTGAATAGAATTCTATCTATTCTATATCTGTATGATGTAATAAAATATATCCATGGTAAATGTTTGTCCAAAATAGGAGAATAATGTGAATGAGTAACACAATTCAACCAACCTTTACTCGTACATCCAGGTGGCGAGTTCTCTGTGTGATCAACACAATGCTTTCCCGGGGAGTCACGACGGATGAATTGACGTCCAAGAAGGCGGCCTCGAGTTGCACGACTCGTGACGACAGAGACCTTCCCGTTTGCTTCACCACTTCCAGACGTTGACGAAGGACAGGCAACTCTTTAAGGAACAGCATGAACCCATCCAGGCTCAGCTGAAAAGATGGGTCCATCGTGGACGGGAGGGACTGCACGGTCCTCACCCCAAGAGACACAAATACGAGGATGTGGAGGTTCATCTGTAGAACTCTGTATAACGGAATGGTATACTACAGGTACACGAAATATAAGATAATATGTCATTCGTGTGGGAATTCGCCATCTGTGTGCAGCTTTTGTAATATTGACACAGATAGCTGCATAATGAGGGCATAGCATGTGCAAGGGTGGTACATGTAAATGACAGTATCAAAGTGTTATGTCGTTAGTTGCAATCAATGTATACAATCCATGTATTTTCTTAATTTGTTTTAGAGACTCACCATTTAATTGCATATTTGGGATAAAGCCAAAGACAATTATTTATGTTTTTTTTAACACAGCTGATTGTCTGCAGAACTGAGGTCTATCTTAAGGTGACCCACATGATAAGATTAAACTCAACATTCAGTCTGTCCCAAGAAGTCTGAAGAACTTGCGTAAGACACAATGGATAGTTTCATGTTTATTAAGATATTACTTATGTGTTTAAATATCGGAATTCTGAGTTCCGCCCAAAGTCGATTTCCCACGTTAGGAACTTCAACCGTTAAAACGACTGCACAGACAACCTTGGACCCACTTCTTATGAGCGGCATGGGCGGGTTCCTGCAAATGATTCAGGAATTCGGGTCTCTGCGGGCACAGGTAGAGCAGCAGGAAGAGACCAACAAACTCCTCCAGGGCACGGTGACCAGGCTAGAGGCGCTGCTGGAGCAGGTCAACAACACGGCAGTGCAGGAGACAGACTACCTCAAACAGGGATCCATGGTAGGTGGTATGATGACGCGTACGCTATAGGTAGGTCTGTGGTGATATGCCACTCCCAGGTCACTTACGTGGAGACCCACCAGCTCTAACAGGGGCCCTTGTAGGTGGTTGGATGATGCGTACGCTAAAGGTAGGTGTGTGGTGATATGCCACTCACAGGTCACTTTCATGGAGACCCACCACCTCTAACACGGGCCATGTAGGTGGTTGGATGGGGCATACGCTACAGGTAGGTCTGTGGTGATATGCCACTCCTAGGTCACTTATGTGGAGACCCACCACTTCTAACAGGGGCCCATGTATGTGTTTGGATGATGCGTACGCTACAGGTAGGTATGTGGTGATATGCCAATCCCAGGTCACTTATGTGGAGACCCACCACCTCTAACAGGGGCCCTTGTAGGTGGTTGGATGGGACATACGCTATAGGTAGGTCTGTGGTGATATGCTACTCACAGGCCACTTACATGGAGACCCACCACCTCTAACAGGGGCCCATGTAGGTGGTTGGATGGGACATACGCTATAGGTAGGTCTGTGGTGATATGCCACTCCAAGGTCACTTATGTGGAGACGAACCACCTCTAACAGGGGCCCATGTATGTGTTTGGATGATGCGTACGCTACAGGTAGGTATGTGGTGATATGCCACTCCCAGGTCACTTATGTGGAGACCCACCACTTCTAACAGGGGCCCATGTATGTGTTTGGATGATGCGTACGCTACAGGTAGGTATGTGGTGATATGCCACTCCCAGGTCACTTATGTGGAGACCCACCACTTCTAACAGGGGCCCATGTATGTGTTTGGATGATGCGTACGCTATAGGTAGGTCTGTGGTGATATGCCACTCCCAGGTCACTTATGTGGAGACCCACCACTTCTAACAGGGGCCCATGTATGTGTTTGGATGATGCGTACGCTATAGGTAGGTCTGTGGTGATATGCCACTCCCAGGTCACTTATGTGGAGACCCACCACTTCTAACAGGGGCCCATGTAGGTGTTTGGATGATGCGTACGCTACAGGTAGGTATGTGGTGATATGCCAATCCCAGGTCACTTACATGGAGACCCACCACCTCTAACAGGGGCCCTTGTAGGTGGTTGGATGGGACATACGCTATAGGTAGGTCTGTGGTGATATGCTACTCACAGGCCACTTACATGGAGACCCACCACCTCTAACAGGGGCCCATGTAGGTGGTTGGATGGGACATACGCTATAGGTAGGTCTGTGGTGATATGCCACTCCAAGGTCACTTATGTGGAGACGAACCACCTCTAACAGGGGCCCATGTAGGTGGTTGGATGGGGCATACGCTATAGGTAGGTCTGTGGTGATATGCCACTCCCAGGTCACTTATGTGGAGACCCACCACTTCTAACAGGGGCCCATGTAGGTGTTTGGATGATGCGTACGCTACAGGTAGGTCTGTGGTGATATGCTACTCACAGGCCACTTACATGGAGACCCACCACCTCTAACAGGGGCCCATGTAGGTGATTGAATGGGGCGTACGCTATAGGTAGGTCTGTGGTGATATGCTACTCACAGGTCTCTTTCATGGAGACCCACCACCTCTAACAGGGGCCCATGTAGGTGGTTGGATGGGGGCATACACTATAGGTAGGTCTGTGGTGATATGCCAATCCCAGGTCACTTATGTGGAGACCCAAAAACCTCTAACAGGGCCGATGTATGTGTTTGGATGATGCGTACGCTACAGGTAGGTCTGTGGTGATATGCCACTCCCAGGTCACTTATGTGGAGACCCACCACCTCTAACAGGGGGTGATGTAGGTGGTTGGATGGGGCGTACGCTATAGGTAGGTATGTGGTGATATGCCACTCCCAGGTCACTTACATGGAGACCCACCACCTCTAACAGGGGCCCTTGTAGGTGGTTGGATGGGACATACGCTATAGGTAGGTCTGTGGTGATATGCCACTCCAAGGTCACTTATGTGGAGACGCACCACCTCTAACAGGGGCCCATGTAGGTGGTTGGATGGGACGTACGCTATAGGTAGGTCTGTGGTGATATGCCACTCCGTGGTCACTTATGTGGAGACGCACCACCTCGAACAGGGGCCCATGTAGGTGGTTCGATGGGGCGTACGCTATAGGTAGGTCTGTGGTGATATGCCACTCCCAGGTCACTTACAAGGAGACTCACCACCTCTAACAGGGGCCAATGTAGGTGGTTGGACGCGACATACGCTATAGCAAGGATAGAGAGTGCTGAAATTCTCAAACAGGGGTCGAGGGTAGCTGGTGTGATGACATACGGTACGTGGTTGTTGATATCGTTACAGGTCACATGCATAAATGCAAGGTGTTCCATGAATCTATATAAAAAACGTTTGGGTTGTGAACTTCTGGCAGCATCACGTCCTATTAAGTATTATCGTGCTACATTCAATCGAACACTTAAGCTTTTGTTCCTTTTTACACATACACAACTCAAGCAGCACCTACTGATGTGTTCTCTGACCAAATGTTAAAATATATGCAAAGTTAACTTATTATCAGCAAAAAGACGCTTTCAAAATAAATGTTCAGACAGAAAAAATTCCACAGTTTATTAAAATCATACAAGGTGTACCCAGTGTAAACTTAAAAAAACGTCCTGACTTCATCACACACCGTCTCCGTTAGTATGTGTACATTTATGTCTATGTAACGTATGGGACGAAAGAGGTTTGAGTTGGTCGTAGTTTATACATATCCGCTTCGTTTATATCCATGTCAATGAAAACATAAAATAGACAGTTTGCCTGGTAAGTACAAGTTCAAGGAATGTCAGGAGAAAGAACCCCAATTAGCGTATTGTAAAGCGCCCATGCGTCCACATTTGCACTAATCACACGTTAAAGGGTAACAGCTTTGTCTTTCTTCACATAATGATTGGTGAATATGAATGAAGTCATTCAAGAACCAAAAAAGTTGAATCTTGTGGTATCTTGATGTGTGTCTTGGCCGCCGTTTATGTTCATTAATGACGGGCCCATGAAGATCCGGGGTAGAATAGGTCTTCAGGAACCCATGCTTGCCGTAAGATTCCGGACTCGGACTGGTCCGGACTCAATTAGTTAATGACCGCCGTCATAAAGCTGGAATATTGCTGAGTGCGGCGTTAAACAACAAACAAACCAGCCAACCATTATTAATGACCACCGACTGTTGCAGACAATTTGACATATAATTAGAATGTGTAGCCTTGGGAAAGCATGTAACTAAAGCGGTTAGTTCCACTATAAAATAAGGAAGCGGTAATGATTGAACATTGTTTTCAGGTGCAGCAAGAGATCTCAACTCTGCTGCAAACAACAACGTTCATCGAGGCGGAGATGACGAATGCTGTGACGACTGCAACAATGTTGGAGATGGAAATGATGAAAGTTGAGAAGTCTCTTGATGACGTCACCGACTGCCATGACATATTCAAAGCGAGGCTGGACAACATGACTTCATCACTGGTTGACGCGACTGACGAGACAAACCTTCTTTCCTTCAACTCTGAGATGTTGAATCAAACAATGGAGGAACTCAACAAGGATATTATGGAGCTGACCAGTAAAAGCGACGGTACTTGGAATTTATATCTCTAATAATCTCAAAGCAAAACTCCCTTACTTATAAGTGGACATCGAACCACCATTTCACAAACGACAAAGGCGTAGGCTTTATGTAACAGTGAACTGTACTAGTTTTACTCAAACTAAATGTTTGTGTTGGAGCGGGTGAGTGAGTTTGGTTTAAAGCTGCTTTTAACAGGATTCCCGTAATATCACCGACGAGTCAGTTTAAAGTGGGAGGAGAGCACGATGTGATGCAGGTTTCAGACGTTTAGCACATTGGTGAAACCTGCAAGCACAGGTATGGCGCTGAAAATCCTAAAAACATCACTGGGGCGAACCGGTATTCGAATCCACAATCACAGGTTTCTAGCATGCCAAACGGACTGCGCAGCGAATTGCGGCGTCTAAAATCCTTGGCTATCCGTGTCCCAATTTGTTTTGGTTTAATCAAGATGTTGTACAGCTATCGTTGAAGGAAGGGAATTCCATCGTTTCGTATATAAGTCACATGTCATTTTAGTCTTCCAACCTATTCGTATGCCTCGATGACGATCTTTAACATCAAATGTGGGTTCTTCAGATATTGTATATTATATGATCATTGGTTTGTTTGATTGACTGTTCCTTTGATGTGATCATACACACGTAGTTTTGAAAATATGAAATATAATAGTTTGATCTAGAATGGTGTTAAGGCTTGCAGCTACTTTCATTTATTCAAACTTTATTCGAAGTATTAAGGTTGTGCCCATAATATGCAGGGAAATACGTCATTATATTCATCTGAAATATCATGTTTATCGCTATTTATCCATTGTTTGTATCGAATAATAGATACATAATTATAAATAGTCCCGTCGGACTTTCTTGTGTTTCAAATTTGCAGACACTGGTTACTCGTGTAGCATCTTGTGTGGTACAACCTTGCAAAGTCGCGTCAACTTCTTCGTGGGTGTCCATATAATGTTTCTTTACCAAACGTTCTGATCTACATACGTTCTGTTCGAACATTATCTCAGTGTTGTTAAAACTACAGGTACAGAGTTCTACATCTAATAATCGTCATATTTTTCTCATCATTGATCATGATTGGCTGTTCGCGAAAAAAGTGATAACACTATATTTTCGCGACAATGCGAGCGTATCCTGTGCCCCTGTTGCACCTGTCACAAACACATGCAAATACAAGTCAATTGTTAACCTAGACAAACACGGTAAGATATAGTACAAGTCAAAATCGGAATTGCATCACACACAATTTTTGTCAGTGAACGTATCTGCCATAAAACCTTTTGAAAACTTTGCTACGACTTTGAATGTTGTAACTCTGATCAAAAAACTTTTGGGCAAAAGTCGGATGGGTCTTACATGACACTTTAAGAATACAGAATATAATAATGCAGCAAAGAGGGTTTGGGTGGTCTTGGCACAGTCAGGCTGGTTAGGCTCATGACCCTTGCTCTCTCTACACGCAAGTCCAGAGAGCGAATGGGACTTCTCCCAGGGAGCGCTGCCTTGTCAAACCCACCCAGAACTTTTCGGAGAATGTGAAGACTCCCCAACACTGCAGCCTTCTGCATTACCCAGATTGTCAGAAGGGCTGTATTCCTGGTAGAAAACACGGGTACTCTCCCAATGTCAGTCAACAGATTGGGAGGTACCAAACCTAAGGCACCGAGAACAATGGGGTGTCGGAAAACTTGGTACTTGGTACGCAAGCGTGACTTTTCGAAAGCAAGGTTTGCATATTTGCCATGTTTTTCCTGATTCTTGTCAATCACATTAGTGTCAAAAGGGACAGAAAATTCAATGATATAAGTGACTGGTCCTGAGCTTCAAACAGATAGCCTTCTGTTTCACTTATCAGGCCAGCTGACCTCATCCAATCGGAGGCCTCTGCAGGGCTCTTCTCGGCACACTGCACATAAACTCGATGCAGTGGTAGTTTAGATAGCCTCTCCTTGAAAAAATCTGGGCCGATTTGATATGGCACTTCGCTTGGTTGACACTCATGTTTGTACCATCCAGCAGTACAGAACCATCAACAAAATCAACACTGACATCGAGAATATATCCAACATCATTGGCTCGGAAATTGTGGAATGCCTTGTTTTCATCATGAGTCGTGACTTGCTTCACAAGAGGATCATACAATTCTATCACGAAGAGTCTCAGCGTTAATCAACCCACACCCTCCCATTATAATTGGCAAATATAAGCGATTGAGGAAAGAGCGAGGGTGTTGGGATCTATTGTCTGACATGATTCTTCGCATGAGGTTCCTGTTTCGTCGACTCAACAACACCAAAAGAATACGAAAGGATGGGTCCGGCATATGTATTTGTGGCTTTAACTTTATTGCGAGCGTTCAGCTCTGAACTCCCGAGTTTCCTAAGTCTGCATTTGTATTCTGACCGAAGTTTGTCTTTGACATTCTGGACATTGTCTCTAACCTGCATCCTTAAATACGTATAGGCCTGACCTTCCACCAGATGCTCAATAACTCCTCCCCCAAGTAAACAGACTGACCCTCCCTCTTCTACCTTGCCTCGTTTCAGACAATTATTATCAGTATCATGTTTATTTGAATTTCAGACTTGAAAGTATCAACGAGCAAACTGGACAGCATCGCTTGTGAGTAGCATGCGATAAAAAGTATACCTATTGAACTCGTTGTACAGGTAGCTGTTTTACTCCTGTGGTGAACGTAAAACAATAACCGGCACTTTATTTTGTTAATGTTTGAAAACAGTAAGACAATATTTAAAAGATGTGACAATAAATGTTATGATTGACCACGTGATATTGGAGCATGTAAAGGTTGGCTTCTTATTTATAACAATGTTTCAGGCCAATCAGGAAGACTTTTCTTCAGAGGTAGCAGCAGGTATCTTTACTCAAGGTTAGGGTATGCTCAGTGGCCGGAAAGCCAAAGTGTTCACTTCAGCAAGCAGTTCATCCGATCACCGACTATTTCATACGGCGTTGTTGGTATGGAAGCGGACAAAGACTATGACGTCAAATTCAACCTGACCATCAATGACGTCAGGAGCTCCGGGTTTGAACTACAGTGTAACGCAAATGGAAAAGGCGAGCTTGTAAAGTTAGATGTACAATGGATTGCGTGTCTTGTGTAGCGAGAGCCACGATCTTACACATTGTGAATAAAAGTTCCCCAAAGTGTGATGAATATTTTTCATAGTGGACGTACTCTTTTAACTAATGTCTGATGTATGATGTTTGAAGTAGATCAAACAAAGAAGAGTTTTTTGTGTCGACCGATCATGTTTTGTTTGTTTGTTTGTTTGTTTTTAACGCCGCACTCAGCAATATTCCAGAAATATAATGGCGGTCTGTAAATAATCGAGTCTGGACCAGACAATTCAGTGATTGTTATCATGAGCATCGATCTACGATATTGGGATAAGATGACATGCATCAACCAATACAGCAAGCCCTGACCACCCGATCCCGTTAGTCGCCTGTTACGGCAAGCATGGGTTGCTGGAGACCTTTTCTTCGGTTCGTGAACACCAAGCAAAATATGACCAAAAAACTGCCTCCTTGTCAATAAAACTTCGAGAACGCCCATTTGGAGAATGTGATCATATTACCATAAAAACATAACTGGTGTATTGTTAACAGAAACTTAACAATAATTATGAAGAAATAATAAATGTCACAAAGGCAGGATTGAAATGAAGATATTTGATCCGTTGTGTGTGCTCAATTTTTATCGTTTCTGCATGGATTATGTGTGCTGCACTTTACCTTAATTGTCCAGACATATTAAACTTGAACCGGTTACCTTAGCCTTTCGTGTATTAATTCCGAAGATAGTACCCTCCAGTGATCTCTCGAGGAGACTGTCAAATCAATTACAGCGCCTGATCAAACGGTGCCGCAGTCATCACGATGTCAGCTGATGTACATATCACTGGCAGAGATGTATATTTCACGTGTCTATTTCTGCCACAAATGGACAAAATTCATGGCCTCCGGGTCACTCGGCGAGACTTCAAAGACGCTCTCTGGCCTTTCTCAGCTTTAGCACACGAAGGAGCGTGCGTTAAGCTACATTTTCAAATTATTTCTCAATCAGAAAGATTAACTGCGTTCATCGATGACGCTTGAAATCAAAGGTGAATGAAAAAAAGAATAAAAATTAATAACGAGAATTTTATGGCATGAATGTCAAGGGAAGATCAGTAACATTTCTCCATATGTGTCTAGTAGATAATACGACTTTGAACATTTAAACGGAAGTATTTGAATACTTCATTAGATTTCATATTACTTTGACATCGATTTTATACAAAGTATAGAAGTGTGTACGCATGCGGCATTTCATTGGCGAGCACTTTTTGCTATATGCTGATAGTAATCAAACGATTAATAGGTATTTGTATCCTAAACACCGCCAGAGGCAACCAGAATGTCATTGTCAATCGAATCAATTTGAAATCGCGAATTTAAAATATTACTTTGATATAATGAATCATGTTTCGCTGACGTGAAGAGGCAGTAAAATCTATACATTCTCTCAACGAAGAACGCACATGTCGCCAGGTTGATTTTGCGAAAATGTTAGTCAGCAGTAATATCAGTACAAGGGTGAGTGGGTCGGGTTTGAGGCCTCTTTGAATAGTATTTCAATTAATATAAACGTAATGTGAGGTCTTAAATGGAGCAGGCATTAAACGTTAAACATACGGCCACAGATACAGTGCTAACAATCCTAGGAACATAAGCAGAGCGAATCTGAGATCGAACCCACGAGTCATAGGTTTCTGGCACACCCAAGGGACGCAACTCTGCACAGCTAATTGCGGTGCCTTGGACAACTGGGTCAACCATGCACCATCGGTATAAGGGCAGGAGAAACAGTATGCTATAACAGTTAAATCGTACAGATCCCGAGGAAATGTTTTAGATCTACCTGATGGTTCTCTAACTGGTGAATGAACCTCCGTATTCATAACCGCCGGTCTATCTATCTGCATATCCCTGTATGACCAATGTCAATAATTCCCAATCCCAAACTACAATAATCTTACGAAGTTGATGTCAGTGATCTCCGGTATGGATTGAACATGACTCTTTTCATCTACTTCGTTTACCGATAATTATTACCCCCCGCCCAACAAAGTTGGCGGGGGATATAGAAACGGGCTCTGCCGTCACGTTTCGTTTCCGGAGCATAACTCATAAACCGTTCAATACTTTTTTCATCAAACTTTGCAGGTCTGTCAGGTATATGCTGAACTGGTGTCTTTTGCTATTTAGAAATTTCAGAATATTTTATTTTTTACGTTTCCATGGCAACAAGATGGACTTAGGTTCTGTGAGGGTAGGGTTCGTTTCCGGAGCATAACTCATAAATCGTTCAATACTTTTTTTCATCAAACTTTGCAGGTCTGTCAGGTACATGCTGAACTGGTGCCTTTTGCTATTTAGAAATTTTAGAAATTTTTATTTTTTTTACGTTTCCATGGCAGCAAGATGGACGTAGGTTCCAAACTCTTCTTTTTTTTAAATTTCCATGACAAGTTCCACCTCGGTTAAAGAAGGTTAGGGTTTGTTTAGATTTTATTATGTCATAAATTCTGCAACAGGGGCGGGGGATATAGCCACGTTAGTGGCAAACTCTTGTTTACCTTTGAAAGATATCTCCTAAAATCATTGTCAGTACTCCAAAATAATTTAATTTTAAATCAAACGTCTTGCTTGAATTGTTTCTTTGAGTGAACAGTGAATGTGTTATTCACGTTATATCGATCTACGTTTGATATTTTATTATTTTCTTTCATACCCCCCTGGATGCCAGAGGGACATATATGTCCTTCCTCTACAGCCCTCACTTTGAAGTCGAATAAAATTCAAAATACATCACCCACACAAATACACTTCACAGTTTTGAATAAGGTGGGAAATTCCCTGTTCTGTGTTATCATCCACTGCCATTTTAGGCCAAGCAAAATTATTGAAAATGACCTCTGAAAATTAGGTACATCGTAAATGTCGCGATTTTTTACACATTACTAAATCACCACTCACGGCGTTATTTACAGCATGTTTTGAAATCTAAATTTAGGATATTTACTCGGAGAAATGAATTTCAAAAATAGTATATTAGTGATCACGGGTATCTGTCTTTTATGAAATCACCAATGATCATTCCAAAACGTCTCCGATAACCCGAGAATCGTTTCGAATGTTTTGGAAAATACGCAAACACGAACGCCGAAGTGAACTTTCCGCCATATTGGCTAGTGTTTACAAAATCACGTTTCAGGTACACCGGTTATGAGGCGCCTGTAACATCGCGTATATTTCAAACTTAGCTACCATACACACATCCTTGAATTCCTCATATATTTTAGAAACAAATGACCAATGGTCTTTGTCACCAATACAAAGTGGCTGGATGAAATCAAGCAAAATATGTTAGGTGTGAAAACGAACGCTGTGCTCGAAAAACTTCACTTGTTTGAAATGTAAACAAAGCAAAATACAGATTTTACACAGTGTAGCATTTTCTCCTATTTTGAGCTATCCATTCGTCTAATCTTTCAAGACATTGGCTCAACATTTTCAGAATATGCACGGGAAGAGAAAAGTAGGAAAAAATTAGGGTATTCAAAATAGATACATTGCAATGATTTGATATTTTCAACAGATACTGTCAAAGTTACCGTCCTGTGTGACGCCATGACTGACGCAAAATCACGCACAACGACAACGGTATTTATCGGAATTTCTGCCTATTTCGGTTCTTTTCAATGAAGATTATAACAACAAATAACAGTACATAGATTGTCAGAATGTTTCTGACTACTTACATGTCACATTTATGTATATACGATCTCTGAATCAACGAAAGTCCCCTCGTAAAATCCCACGCACTGTTGACAGTGAACACGCCATTTTGTAAAAGTGGGTCACAGGTAGTGATGTCATACGTCAACATTGTTGTACATATTTGGTAATTTCTTTGAGGTGAAGGTCCTTGAATGAGAGTGCACACGATCATTGTATCATGCTGTTTACAGTTTCAGTTATGATGTAGATTTTGCATATGTTTTATACATTTTTTCACACAATTAATCACCCTTTGGATATTTGTCAATGTTCATAATGATATCATATGCAAATATAAGCCACAACATGTATGAACGAACCTTTGGTAATCTCTTGTTTGTTTGAACATTGTTTACATAACAATTGATAGGGTTTTAGTGTCGAATACGATATTTCTTTCCTTTGGACAAGTGTTACAATATGAAGCGTAAAGGTAACTGCAGCATGTACGTATTTCTTGGGATGTGTAATAGTCAATGTCATAAGTCCATATAACCAATGTCTTTGAAGAGCTGTTTCATTTTATTTTATAACTAAAACTGAATAGATCTATGTTACTTTAACAAAATGGATAATATTTTTCGTAAAAAGATATGCACACATTTCTGAAAAAATTGTCTTGGTCTTGGAATTGTTTTTTGTTGTTGTTTTTTTGTCGTTTGATACACAGAGCCGCGATAGCTAACGATTCGCCAGGTGCGTGTTAGCCACAAACAATTTACGAATTATTCCTCTTGTTTTGCATTATATAATCAATGGGTTCATTCTTTTTTCAATATTATGATCACAGGATATTAAACTGTTCACTATATTTCTCCAGGAATTGTTAAATGTATAAAATTAAACCCATGCCAAGTACCCTAGCTGTTGGTTCAATAGAGCTTTCTTCGCATCTTTTAGTGTGTAATTCTGAGACGAGATGAAGAGAAATAATAACAATATCTGTCCAATATTGAATATAATTTGGTTGTTTTGAAATATTCTTTTGGGTATTTCATTACGTAAATTGATGCCAAACAGGTGCGTGTCTTGTCCAATTAAAACACACGATAAACTAGCTAATTGATTACATATTCAAGACATTATCTAATTGGTGAAAGCAGTCATTTTATGTTGTGTAGAAAAAGCGTCAAATTACGTTTTACACATCGAGATTTTCCATATCATGAACGAAAATTAGGGGAGATATATATTAATCAAAATACCAGAGTCATCTTTCTCCGACGTTATCAAAGACATAAAAACAGCCATGACGTCAAATAGAACGGTGTTATTGTTTTGGGTTATTTCATTACATTTGATGATAAGGCTAGTGCTCCATTA